ATAAAAAAAAAAAATATATATATATATATATATATATATATATATATATATAAAGTTGTCAAGACTTGTAAAGACAAACCATACTTTTATGTGAAGATTTGGGAGGGAAAATTTCTAATTTTTTTAGTTTATTTATATCAAGTTTATCCTCACGTTTTACTTCCATTACGTCTCTTACTTTGTATAGAGAAAGAAATGTCTTTATTTAAAAGTCTATTGTATTATAAGGAATTTTAAATAATAATTAATATATCATTAGGTTCATAATTTTTTTTTAAAAAATAACTAAATCTCTAAATTAAAAAATTATAATTGGATTATCAATCTTCTAACAATTTTTATAATTAGGCCCTTAAAGTTAAAAAAATACAAATTATTACTTTTATAACAGTTTGAAACAGTCTCAAATTAATCAAAGGAATTCGATTAAAAAAGTCAAAGACTCGGTTACAAAAAAATTAAATTTAGGAACTAAATTAAAATACTCAAAAGACCAATTAATATATTAAACCTTCAAATAAATAACAAAAACTACTTTTATATAATGTCTAAACTTTTCTGTATACTATCACAATTAAGTATATGGTTTCATTATCTTGTAACATTATCCACTTTGATTTTAATAACAAAAACTACTTCATTAGTCTAAACTTTTCACTAGGCTAACACACCTGAGTCTTTATTTAGACCAAGAAGTATATTTTCTCATTATCTCATAACATTATCCACTTTCTTGTTAGTAAAATATACTTTCTTCATCTCATAACAAAGGGTCATCTTAAGTTTTTTTTATATAAACAAAAGAATTGGTAAACAAATGAAATAGTGATGCAATTTTACAAGTTTAACCTTATTTGTTTGAAACGATACAACACAATAATATTTTAAAAATATATTATTAGGATAAAAATATAAAATGTTATATTAAAATACTAAAATAACACAACACCAAAAAAAAATACTAAAATAACATTTATTTTTTAAGTTATTTTTTCTTATAACACTAACTATCATAAGTGAGTATTAAATATTTGGCAAAATAACAACAAAAGAATAAAATTTGTACAGTTACGATAAATTCTCACCCAAAGAAAAATGACGATTTTTTTTTTCAGGAAAATGGCAGGAATTGTGTTTGAGTTTGAATATGTATGAAAGATACAAGGAAGGAGACGTTTGTGCTTGAGAAAGCTTGGGAATAGTGGCAATATCGTAAACTAATGATATCCATTCCTTTACACATTGTCCTCATGTTTTCCCTTCTAAAATACTACAAAACTTCCACTTCATACTTTAAACTTAATTAATTACCCAAAAAATTTACATGCCCCATCTACATTATGCTTCATTCATACAGGATCAAAATTTCAGCCATAGATTAATTTGTTCTTATTATGACAACCTGTTTGCTTCAAATTTTCTGCTTTTGAACGGTTATGTTGTTTTCTTATTTTACCTTTGACTTGTCCGATAATCTGGGCACAGTAGTTGTGTTAAGATCATAACTTTGTCTCACAAATTTCTCTGAAAAACTTTCACAAATGTCTATTATTATTAAAGCACTACTATGTAAACAATCACAACTATACTTGTATCGTTCCACAATTTTATTATTGGTGATAAATCACTTTCTTCCTATTACTCTCCATCACATCAATTATCTTATCTCATATCTTCTTCTTCTTTTTTTACTTTTCCTCTCTTTTTTATATTCAAAATTATACAAACAAGTTATAAAACTAAATTTATTATTTTTTCTACTATTGAAAAACTAATTAATTTTGCTAAAAATGCAAGATAATTTGTCAGATCCATTATTAAATTTTTTATAATTTTTTTTACTAAAATAGCATTTATGTTGTATAAAATAAAAATATTTTTTATAAATATAATATACACAATATTTCAAAACTAATAATTAAATTACATTCACATAATATAATTTTTCCTCACCAAGTATGAGGACTAATTTGTGACAGCAAGAAGCGACTTTTCTTCACTAAATATTACTTTAATGTTTTAAAAATTAATCTAAAAATACCAAATTAATTCTCGTATTGGAGGACAGATCTCACAACCACTTATATTAACATTGTTAGTTAAAACTATGTTATAACAAGACCATAAAATTGATGTCATATATATTAAGCCAGCTAGATAAAGGAATCTACTTATACGACATTACGCCACACGACTAAAAATTAAAGGCCCCTTCACAATTAATGGAGTGGACCATACGACACCAAAATTATGGAATAAAAATCAAATTAAACTCGTGATTTATGAATTTATCTAAGGTTGATACTTGATAGTTCACATGAAAGAATATTGCAAAAGGAAAGGCTCAAACTGCAAAAGAAAAAAAAAATTGCTTTTTTTATATTCCCTCGTTCATCTGCCACTCAGAAAAAGTGAACCACCAAGTTGCAGAATCCAGTAAAATGTATTAAATTTTCACAACCTCCAACCCAACTTCCCCCATTTTCTTTACTTTCTTTCTTCTTCTGCTTTCTTCACTCAGCCCCTATGCATCACAGATTCTACCTTTTGATGTAAATGGGATCAACCCACCAACCCTAGACTCACATACCTGCAAGATTCATTCATCTCAAACCAAACCACCCACTTCAATTATGGCACCATTTCCCACTTCCCATTACTTCAGGGCCTTCACTTTCTCCATTTTGTTCCTCAAAACCCTAGCTTTTGACCCAATTCCTTTGTTCTCTTTTGCTGGTTTTGGAAAAGATCTGAAATTTAAGCCCAACTTGGCCCTTTATGGTAATGCAAAAGTTGTCAATGGAGGGTCTGGAATTGATTTCTCTGGCTATGGAAGTTCAGGCACTGGCAGAGTCATGTACAAGAAACCCATCAAGCTTTTTCAAGGTAAACCAAGGCAATTAGTGTCCTTTTCTACTTACTTTGCATCTTCAATCCCCTTGGACAATGGGGGTGGGTTGGCTTTTGTTATGGTTCCAAAGGGTTCTGAAGGTGATGTGTTTTACCAAAGTTCTTCTAGGTTGAATGATGGAAAATTTGGAGTTGTTGGTGTTGAGTTTAGTGCCTCAAAGGGTGGTGGTAGAAATGGGGTTTCTAGTTGTAATGTGACCATGAATTTAACTGGTTCAGTTGTTGCTAAAACAAGTCAGAAATTGGCTTTAACAACTGGAGAAAAGTTGCATGCTTGGATTGATTATGAAGCCAGTTCAAGGCGTTTGGAAGTGAGATTGAGTCAGCATGGTAAATCAAGGCCGTCTGATCCACTGCTATGGCACTCGATCGACTTGTCAAGTGTGTGGAAGGAGAAAGAAATGTTTGTGGGGTTTAGTTCTGATTCTCAAGCATGTTTTCTCTATTCATGGAGCTTTGTTCTGAGAAGTTTTCCGCATTCAATGCATTCAGAGCCTCTGGATCCAAAGGCCTTGGTTGAAAACACTGAAACTCCTGTGGTGAAACAAAGGAGTGATTGCTTTTTAAGAATTCTTGCTGCAATGATATTTGGCACTGGATGTGGAGCTTTGACAGCATTTATTGTGCTTTACTTGTGGACTATATTTGGTAATAAACGTGCAGTGGTGCCAGAGGAGTCTGTTATGCAACCTGTAGATGAGTATAGGAAAGTCAAAATTGTTGTAGATAAAACCATCGAAGATGGCAAGAAGTAGATCCTCAAGCTTGTGTTTGTAAATTTAGTTTGTCTTGTATTTAGGTTTTGCTCTATTTGCCTTGCTAAAGGGCTATGTATTTGGTTTTTCTGCCGTTACCTATTGTTTATCAAATTGAGATTGAGATCCAACTGTTTTAAAGGTTGCTTATTCTTTTTGAAACATACCCAAATTGAGGTTATTAACGAACCTATATTAATTAATGGTTAATTGTTTGTTTGGTGATGTAAACCTACAAATTTTACTTATCTTGCGATTGAGAATTTCCGTTCTTTTCCCTTTTGTTTACGTATAAAATGCTACAGATATACCTTGTGGCATTGTATTTTAAAGATCTTGTATTATTTGACACTTCAAAAATGCCTTGTGGCATTGTATTTTAAAGATTTAGTACATATTTAACACTTACTTTTTGCCTATGAAAAATAGAAAAGTGAGTGTAAATTGATATGAAATGAGAAAGAAGAATAATAGTGTTTAAAGTTTCAGTTTTCTAAGTGAAGTAGATGGAGTGAATAAATTTCGGTTCTAATCAGTCAGTGGAGTTTTTTATAATCAATTAAAAATAAAAACTAATTTTATAAGCATCTTTGGGTTTTTTTATATATTTTTTCTATTTCTCATAACCCTAATTCTCTCATTTCCTTTCTCTTACTACTTATATTTGACTCGGTTCCTTATTTCCGTTGGTTTATTTCTCTACTTTATTATTATTTAATTATTAATTATTTCTTCATTCATATCTTTTTTGGCGTTACCAGGACTATGTATCTCTTGTTCAACCTAAGGAAATGTTTCAATTTGAAAGTAGTGTCAAGGGAAATATTTCAATTTGACAATTCCTTCTTGTTCAACATAAAAAGATAAAACGGCACTATTTTGGGGACCCAGTCTAGTATTGATAAATCATTTCAGAGTTGTCAGGAAATTCAAACACACGCAAGCTTTTCCATACAATTTGACCCCCGGACAAACTATGATAGCTGAGATTCCATCTAGAGTCTAGACGAATTTCGAATTTGAATTTAGTTGTAAAGTTATCTCAAGACAATGTCTCATCTATTTTTCAAACACGAGCAAGTCTTTTCTACTTAAATTGACTCAACAACGACTTTGTCCTACAAGTTTCAACATTCATTTCATACTCTAAAATAAAGCAATGCCACCAAATAAGAGTTGGTTAAACAAATTGTTTTTCAAGATAGGGTATAAACAGCATAGAGCAAGGCGTTAAGGACACTAATCATCGACCATGGGACGGATACGGATCAAACAAACATTTTAACTTTAAAATAATAGCAGTTTTATAGTCTTCCCTACCATCAGGTTACATAGCAACAGAAACAAACACCAGAGCCAGTTTTATAAAACAATAATATAACTAGAGCTAGCCGGAACAGAACCATCCCCTCCAAAAGAGAAAATGAACCGGCAACAGGAAGTTGCGGCATGTATCTCATCATCATCCACCGCAATACAACAATATCAAAATCACATGTCAGATAATGTGGGATGATAATCATCCTCCTCCTCTTCCTCCTCATACTCATCCTCATCAGCAGTGGCATCCTGGTACTGCTGATACTCCGACACCAAATCATTCATGTTGCTCTCGGCTTCGGTGAACTCCATCTCATCCATGCCTTCCCCAGTGTACCAATGCAAGAAGGCCTTTCTCCTAAACATAGCAGTGAATTGCTCACTCACTCTGCGGAACATTTCCTGAATGGATGTGGAGTTTCCAATGAATGTTGAGGCCATCTTCAAGCCAGTGGGGGGAATGTCACAAACGGTGGACTTCACATTGTTGGGAATCCATTCCACAAAGTAAGAGGAGTTCTTGTTCTGCACGTTGATCATCTGTTCATCAACCTCCTTGGTACTCATCTTGCCTCTAAACATAGCTGAGGCAGTGAGGTATCGGCCATGTCGAGGATCAGCAGCACACATCATGTTCTTAGCATCCCACATTTGCTGGGTGAGTTCTGGAACACTCAAGGCCCTGTATTGCTGAGAGCCACGGGATGTCAATGGAGCAAAACCCACCATGAAAAAGTGGAGACGAGGGAAGGGAATGAGATTCACTGCAAGCTTTCTCAGATCAGAGTTTAGCTGACCAGGGAACCTCAAACAACAAGTGACACCAGACATTGTAGCTGAGATCAAATGGTTCAGGTCACCAACTGCAAGAGAATGAACACTGTTAATAACCTCATTGAACAACTCTACAAAATTAAAAAGGGATAGTATATCATTTGTAGGAGCTTACAGCTAGGGGTGGTTAGCTTGAGGGTACGGAAGCAAATGTCATACAAAGCTTCATTGTCAAGCACCATGCACTCGTCTGCATTTTCAACAAGCTGGTGAACAGAGAGAGTAGCATTGTAGGGTTCCACAACAGTGTCGGAAACCTTTGGCGAAGGGAATACAGAGAAAGTAAGCATCATCCTATCTGGGTACTCTTCCCTGATCTTTGAAATCAAGAGGGTACCCATTCCTGATCCAGTTCCTCCACCCAGAGAATGGCACACTTGAAAACCTGCAACAAGAATAAAAAAGCATTTAGAAAATCCACCACAAAATAGACCCTCTATTCAAGCATCACCCACAAAAGACCCAAATCCATTTTAAATTTCAAATTTCGAAGTTAACTAGTACAAATCAAGCTTCGCATTTCATTACATGTCTCAAAATCAGTCACAGAACACACCCCAAGCTAACACCCTTTCATCCAAACAAAACCACATGCAAATCCAAAATCTCACACAAGACTCTCCAACTAAACACCTCCATTTCATAACTTCAAAATCATCCACAAACCAAGCTTCGCGTTTCATGAAATGTTTCAAAGTCAGTCACAGACCACATCACATGCTACCCCTTACATAAACAAATAAACCCACATGCAGATCCAAAACCACAAACTATACATCCAAATACACTTACCCTAACGCACCCATTTCAAAACCGCCAACAAAACCCAATAAAGCTTCCACCTTTACTCAAAAACACCAAACCCCACACCCTCATTTGAAAACCACCCACAAATCCTAAATCACGAACAAACCCTCAATCTTTCAATTTTACAAAAAACCAAACAGACCCAATTCAACCCCACCCACAAAACACCAAAAAGATCAAACCTTTAACCAAAAAAAGCCCTTACCCTGCAAGCAATCGCAGTTCTCAGCCTCCTTGCGAACAACATCGAGCACAGAGTCAATCAGTTCAGCACCCTCCGTGTAATGCCCCTTAGCCCAGTTGTTCCCAGCACCAGACTGCCCAAAAACAAAGTTGTCAGGCCTGAAGATCTGACCGTACGGCCCAGACCGGACACTGTCCATGGTTCCCGGTTCAAGGTCCATGAGAACCGCTCGGGGCACGAACCGGCCGCAACTGGCTTCGTTGTAGTAAACATTGATCCTCTCGAGCTGGAGATCCGAGTCCCCACCATACCTTCCGGTGGGGTCGATCCCGTGCTCCGCGCACACCACTTCCCAGAACTTTGCACCGATCTGGTTGCCGCACTGGCCACCCTGGATGTGAAGGATCTCACGCATTTTCAAAAGTGTTTGAAGAAGAGAGAAGAAATGAAGATTAGGGTTTGTAAGAGAGAGAAAGAGGGTTTTGGGTGAGGGTGGGGACGAGAGGGGGAAGAGGGTTCTTTTTTATAGAAAAGTTGGTGCCTTTTTGTTGCAACGGTTGGATTTTGAATGGGTTTTGGTGTTTGATGGGTGTCGAGGGAAATGGGTGAGCTGTGATTTTTTTTTTAATTTTTTTTATTTTTGGGTGTGAGAGAGGGTTTTTGAAATTTGAAATTTTGAATGTCCAGCTGGATACACTGTTTTTTGTGGTGGAGGAAAACGGAAGAGTGTTTTCTTTTCTATCTGGAATGGGTGACAGTCAAACTCAAACGGACCAGTTTTCATTGAGATTTGAAACTTTTTATTTTTTATTGTCATAAAAAATTTTATAAGTGGGGTAATTTATTACACTAGTGTCTATCTAAGAGGGTAAGGAAAAGGTACAATGACATGCTTGTTTCAAATTTTTAGTTTTTTAGTTTTCTTAATTAAATATTTATTTAATAAGTATTTTTTTTATCGATTATTCACTTATTTGTTTGCAAATACATTGAGAAAATGTTGGCATTTTGACTTCCTCATACAAAATAAAGTTATTTATGATTTTTTATAATAATCACTTATTTTGTTATTGTAAAATTATATTAATAATAAAAAGGATATTATTTTTGTGTTCACAATTTATTTATTTTCCTGTTTTATACTCTAATTAACAACTACATAAATAATTGCACATGGTTAAAAATAAATTACTCCGTAGTTAAATATAAATAAAATTTTTTAAATAAAAACTTCTATTCTCTTAAAATATAACTGCACATGATTAAATTTTTATTGAAAATTTAAAATAAAATTAACTATCCATTACTGCTATTTAGAATGTGTTTAGTAAGATAATCAAAGAGTTTATGAGCTTTTTAAACTAAAATAAATTTGTTTAGTACACAAATTTATTTTAGGAACAAATAATAAAATAAGCTAATTAAAATAGTTTATAACTTATAAATTCTTTAAAAATTTGCATTTTATATCTTATTAATTTAATTGAAATTTTTATTTTTTTAATTTAAATTTTTTTTATCTACATGCATGTTAGTATTTCAATCTCCTTGTTAAATAAATAAATAAATATGACATTTTATATTAATTACATAATTTATCAAATAATTTTATTAAATATATTTTTAATTTAATCAATTAACCTATAAATTTCTAATATCTACCTTACTTAATTTATGAGCTTTCAATCAACATATTATAAGCTAATAGAAGGAGAATCTTTTCTTACTTTCCTTTTTATCTTTCTCCAAATTTTCAAAATTGCTTTGCAAAATTTATCGGTCATGTTAAATATTAAATGACATAGTATTCGCAATCCCATTTTCAGAATTTGTCACTAAACTTTTCCAATTGCTTTACAATTTATTTTAGAAATACAAGAAACAAATATATTAATAAATTCATGTATTTAATATCTTATTATTTTAAAATTTGTCTAATAATAAATTATAAATAGGATATGAAATATTTAAACATTTTTATTTATTTTTCCTTTATCTTTATCCAAATCAAGCATCTGACAACTAGTAGAATTAGTCATGTGATTAAAAAGATGAAATTAGGTTAGTAAAAAATAAAACATAGATTCAATCTTCATTATGACTATTTTTTTAAAATTTTTCATATTTTTGTTTAATAAATACAAAAATCAAGCATTGACAATTTGAAAAAAAAAAAGAAAAAAAATACAATCTTAATACTACTAAATTTAGGATAGTCTCCATTTTTTTCTTACTCTTTTATAAGTATAATCATGATATTATACATGTTAAATTTAAACATTTTATATAAAATAAAATATATTTAAATATTTAATCAATTCAATTATGCTAATTAAACACGTAAATAATTTTTACTAATATTTACAATATAATTATAGACATTCAAATTCAATTTGTTATAAGTATGAGAAATGTGCATCTAAATTGTAATAATTTTCTTATTAATCGTAAAATTACTAATAATCTATTCTCACCTTTTAGCATGTGAAAATTTTCATTGTCATTAGGAATTGCGGAATCATGAATTACGGAGACTTTAAAGAAATTTTAAAAAAAAAATAATATAAAAAAAAAAACACAAAAAGGTTCAAGTAGACAAATTCTTCACTTTTATATAGTTTTTTTTTTCTTCTATTGACAAGGAGGTTCAAAATGTTGCCATTAGTTATACAACTTATCATATTAAATAACATTAATTGCACAACATTAATTTTCAATTTAGTTGCTTGACTTGTGCGAGAATTTTTTACTCAAATAATATTTTTTAAAAAAATTTACCTAAATAACAACTGTGCAAATTTATTTCTCTAACGAACACCATTTATTGTTCACGTTCAGAACGAACCATTCCAGTTTAAAAAATAATACATGACGAATGGATCAGAACAAACCGTTCCGGATTCAAAATTAGTACATAAAAAAGTGAAACCAAAACGAGCCGTTCTGAATCCAAAACGAGTCGTTCTGGCTTATAATTAACATCAAATAATTAAATTTATTGAATATTAACATTATAAATATAACTAAATAAATTTATTAAAATTCAATACAACAATAAAGATCAATGGTGGCGGAAACTGGTTATGTTGTTCTCTAATGTTCATCTTTGTTTTAATCCTGCTGGATATGTTTTTCTTTTTTTCTTTTTTAACAAAATTACCGTTGATATGTTTGAGATACATATCTTTAACGTATTGGATATGTATCCGATACGGATACGGCGTAAAATTGTGCATATTTGTTGTAACGACTCGCCATGGTCTCTACACTTAGTGGAATCGCACTACTACTAGTGAACTAAAAGAAATATTAAGTTGGATAACTCATACATATAGGTATAGATAATAGTAAAAATAACCAAATTTCTTAAATACAAAATAGAACGTCATATATGTGCAGTCATCCCAAAAAATAATATTTCCTAGTGCCTCTCAAGTACAAATAAAACTGTTATCCAAAATGGTAACTCTAACACGAGGATCAAAACTCCCCGTCTCGCAACGGACACCTCAACTCCAAGCTAGCCCTGACCTGCTCCCATACCAAGTATGATCATCGCAGTTCCACCACATGAAAACAGAAGGGTAAGCTAGAGTTCAAAACCAATCATACAAGTACAGAATAAAATCTATACTACACATCATCCAACTATCAATCATGTTCATAGAGTCACACCATACATTCTATCCAACACTACTCATGCATAAAGTATATTACACCAATCATGAAGTCAAACACCACACACTTCATCATATTAACAATCATGCAATAAATGCATCTTATGACAGATATCAATGCATATCAATCATCTAATGCGTCGTCATGCATACGCCTAGGAGATCTCCATAACAATAGAGTTGTATAAGTGACATCCCATCCTACCAAAACCACCCCAACCGTTTTCACGCCCAATGCGCCCGCTCGGTCACAACTAAACAGGATATAATCCTCACTCGGGTTTACTCGGATGATGTCACTTACACACTTGGAAGTCCAGATCCACCGTCAAGTATAGCACAGCTGGGTACGGGCTTACCACAACCTTGGCATGCATAACCAAGTCAATTGTGGAATTCTCTCACCGACTATCCGCAAGGATCCACGCACCTTCCCGAGTACTTGGTTAAGGGAATAACCCTCGACCTCATACCCCGCTCCAACACTAGCTAAGGACTTAGAGGAGACTCACCCAACCCAGTGGCCTATCTGAGCACCACTCTCCCAAATCCAGTGGCCTCCTTGAGCACCACTCTCATATCAGTGGCCTATCCAAGCATCACTCTCAAGAGACTCTATGTGAGCTCTTCCAGTTCAAAAAATATTTTTCCTCTCCTCAAGTCCTAGGCTAGACTCATGCCATAAGGCATCACATGCAATTATGCATCATACATCATACATGGTCTGCCCACCATCATGATCAACAATCATACACATGTCATAAGACATCACATGCAATAATGCATCATACATCATAAATGGTCTACCCACCATTATGATCAATAAACATACTCATATGAACATATACACATGTCATATCATATTCAAACATTCATACGTATCATCACAAAGCATACATATGAATCACACCTCAGCATACATCATATATCATACATACATGATCCAAAACTTCAACTTAACATGCATTAGCATCATTTTATTCATAAACATGTTCACGCCTGGCGCAACCAAATCACACCTGGCCCAACATCCAACCCGAGAGCCCTAAGCTCTTACACGCCTAGCTCGCTCAACCTGCGCCCGGCCTAAATCCCATCCAGAGAGTTCAAAACTCTCATCTAAACTAACAAATTTAGCCACATGCAACCACAAAACACAATGCATAGGCTCCATACGACTCAAAATAAACCTAAATCTCACATGCATCCAAACTATGCATCAAAATCCTCCTTTTTCTCAAAACCCCAAAAATGATATTTTCTTCAATCCATCTATGAATTCTCAACATTCATGCACCTATTGAGTTTCTAAACTCACATGCAACCTAAATAACAAACATTATAGCTTCCCTCACCTGAAGATTGGCTTAAAATAGCCAATAACTGAGAAGAAGTAGAATTCCCTTCTGAAGCTCAAACCGGAACTTCAATCCTCCCAGAGCAAGCTTCCTAGTCTGAATTTCAAGAAAAGCCAGAAGACGTTAGTGATCTAGAGGAGAAAAAAAATCATACAAAGAAATTTGGGAGAGAAATGAGCTCACAGACCCAGAGTCCTTCTCTCTAAAACTTCTCTCTAAAAACTCATTCTCCTCAACTGCCCCCAACCCCTATTTATAGACATTCTGGAGTGGTCAGAACGGCCTGTATCGAAACCAAAACGGCTCATTCTGCACTCCCTCAACACATACAAAAACCACATGCAGAACGACCCGTTCTGAAATCAAAACGGCTCGTTTTGGTATTCATTCAGAACGGCCCGTTCTCCATCCAGAACGGCCCGTACTCCCTCCGGAACGGCCCGTTCTCCAACTAGAACGACCCGTTTTGGAATTTGGAACGGCCCGTTCTCCCTCCAGAATAGCATGTTCTCAACT